GAAAATGTTGACAATGTTATATAAATACAAATGGTAAATTGAACGTTTCTCATCTATCTCCACATTTTATTTTTCTATATATATTGTAATTATAATATAATTTTATAAGTAGACGAACGCAGATTTGAAGTGAAGCTCCCGTATATAAATAATAAATAATATAATATATATACATGTACATGTACATATGAAATAATATTATAATATATTAAAGGTGACATTAATAATAGATTAATTACAATTTAACGTTATGTAGTCTCCTTTTTAAGTATAGAGTTCATTTTTGTATTGAAGTTCTCATAATTTTATATTAACTAAGTTAAGTTTAATCACTTGAATCGAAGCTCGTCTACATGTATTGTTATATTAAAATTATAATAAATATTAATTTATATTTTAATTAATCTACCGTTATATTAATGCAACATTTAGTATATTATATTATATAATTATAATAAAATTACATCTATATATGTGAGCTTCGATTTTAAATAGTAAACTTAATTTAAATAATATAATTTAAGTAATTAAACTTAATTTGATTAAGATAAAATTCTAAGTACTCCAATATAAAATAATAAACATTACACTTAAATGGATATATAATGAAGTTAAATTGTATTAAATGGTACTATGTTAAATATGTATGGGTAGAATTGACAAATATCTAAATATATAAATGTAAAATTGATATTCAAAAGTTTCTCCTCAATTCACACTTTTAATATATCGTAGATAATCTTTATTTCATATCAAAGTCATATATTTTTATAAAAAAAATTATCACGACACGCGTTTACTTCATTGCTCATTTCTTTTAATTTATAATTTTATCAACACTCCCAAACAAAGGCTAAAAGCTAGATGGAGACAATTGAGTTGAGTAACCACTGGTTGAACATATGGGGTACTTTTAAAATTGACCCGATCAAATAGTCATACTTTCATTTTGACTTTTTAGCTTATTCATATTTTCACAATGGCCTATTTAATGGCAAAAGACAAAAATGCCCTTAAGTATATAAAACAATTACAAAATATTGTTTTGTTTAAAAGACAATACTACAATTTAGCTAACAAATAAAAATCAAACTCCCTACGTAAAATTTCAAAATCAACATACTTTTGTTATCTTTTATTTCAACACAGATAAAAACTCTCTCATCTTTCATCTGTTTCAACCTTAAAATTTGAAAAATTTATCAAACGCTGAAACCTGAATTTTTTTTATATCAATCATTTCGAATCGATAAGTATATTTACGTATGTTTAATTTCATTTTCGTTAAATTAATATACGTTTTAATAGTTCAATTTATTTCGACATAGATAGTTAAAGTAGATAAATGTTTTTTAACAGATAATAATTTCTTTAAGCATTAACGAGAAAAAAATTCATTTGCATTTTAGGACGAAATGGATCTTGTGAGAAATAGCCGGCCGGCTGTTTCGCCTTTAAAAAAAATTATTGTTAAAAGTCGAATTTTCGACCATGCATTTTCTTTAAAAAATTCTGTCTAACAGTTTCGCCTTTCAAAAAAAAATTCATGTTAAAAGTCGAATTTTCGACTATGTATTTTCTTTAAAAAAATTTGTTTCTTCTTGCAGATATGGTTGTAATGTCAGTTTGTTACTTTGGTGACTTCGAATTGCATGAGAAAAATCAATGGGTATGGAGATGGACAAACGATAGACGTGGTGGTACTTCAATTTCCATAACGGAGAGTACAACATATGCGAGAATGTACCATGATTTACAAAACAAGTTGAATGTCGACCCCTCTCAGTACGATATGGAA